GAAGACGGTAGCCTTAAGCCCGGTATAACCCCTTAGTTTATTTATTATATCGCGTTAGTAAATTAATAAAATAATTATAGCTACGGTTTTTAAAGCGGTATTCTACCGTATCTTATCTTTAAACGACCGATCGAAGTCGCGCGTTAAGCCTAAGAAAATAAGGGGCTCGATTTCTTTAATACTATAAGAGAATACGCCGAGGTAGTAGAGTAATTTTATAGCGTTCGAGTTTTAAAGGAAGGAATAAGTATCGTTAAGCGTCTTCGGTAAGCCGTAAATTACTAGAAGCGAATTAACCTTATTAACGCTATAATATCCGCTTAGAGTACGTCGATCGGCGAGCCCCTTAGCCGTAAATCCTCCGTTTAATTTATTATATAAGCCGAAGTCCGTCGTTCTTTTATAGTTTTAATACCTAATTCCCTTTATTTCCTCGTATTAACGGACGTAAACCTCCGCTATAATAACCTCGTTAAGGTTATAACGCGTTCCCTTCCTTCCCCCGGACTAGAAAGAATTAAGGCTTTCTAGTCGAAGGAAACCTCTATACCGTATAGGTAAAGGAAAGATACCTAGTTAATCCTTAGGACGCGCCCGCTTTCCTATTATCCCCTTAATTAGGAGGGCTAGGACGAAACTAAGAAGAAGGTAGCCGAAATAAAGAAAGAAAACGCCGATTAAGCTAGATCGGTAAAGGTAAACCGGACTAAGTTAGTTATAAAGTAATAAAAGGACTCCTTTATAATATTAAACGAGAAGTTAAAGGCGCGGCCGTAGTAGTTAAATAATAGCCGGAGAAATAGAGTTTCGCGGTAGTTTTTAAGGGGAGATATTAATCGGGACTTACCGTACTATCCTTTTTAGTTTAATTATCCCTTATAATATAATTAAACTAAGGAGGTTATAATAATACGGTAAGATATACCTTCTTAATATATTACGTAATACGTTACGATAGGCCTTATACCTATATAGAATAACCATAGCTTCCGTAAGTACGGAATATACTATACTTATTACCTAGTTTATTACCTAATTAGATTATTATCTTTATTATTTTTACCTTAATTAAAGATTCGTTTTTATCATTAGATTCGTCGTTCTTCGATTAATATATTTATTTTAGTTATAGGCGCTTAAGTTACTTCGTCGTACCGCTATAACCGAATAAATAACTTTTACGTTTTACCCCTTTTCTTTTCTTACCTCTTATATCTTCGGGCTAGCGACTACTATATCTCTACGACTAAGGGGTATAGCTAAGATACGATAACTACATTAGATTCCTTACCTCTCGATTAGTATAACGATATTAGTTTTATCTATCCTGGACCATCGTACGTACTATAGTCTTCGATAAAATACACTTTCGAGTGAACCTATCCGGGTCTCCAGCATCGCGTACGCTCTACTCCTCCTCAATACTTACGGAAAAATAATTATAATAATATTTAAAGAATCGCCGTAAGTACTAACGGTACGTAAATTCTTCCTTTAATTAGTTAATATATAGGTATAAAGTACTATTATTATATAGAAATAACTTTCCTTATTATTAAATACCGAACTCGTATTACTCTTAAATCTTAATATATAAAGGTTACTTTAAAATAAAAAACTTAACGACGAAAGTCGTAAGTAAAGGCGGATTAGCGAGATATACGAATATTAATAGGCTCGTTTTAATATTCGATAATCTCTTCGTATAAGCGATTAATTTATCGGTATAATACTCCGTATAGGTATTACTCGAATAAGATAAGCAGATAATCGCGAGCGACTTTAGATATTACTTCCTTAGAAGATTATTCTTCGTTTTCGGAAGATTATTCTTTTATTTCCTTTCCTCTAACGTCTTTTATTTCTACGTTTAACTCTTACTCGGGGCGGCGGCCGACGAAGCTACGTTCGGTATTACGGTCGATAAGGCGGCGGAAACGTTACTTACGTTAGTTAAAGTAATAAAAGAGCTAGTAGGTATAAAGCTAAGAGCGGGTACGGCTACGACGGTCGAAAGCCCGGTAGCGGAAAGGCTTACGCTTAGCTAGGTAAACTAACCGGAATTAACTACGCTTCGTCGTAACTTTACGGTCTCGGGAACCGTAGGTATTTACTTTCCGTTTTAATAAAGGATTAAAAGCTCCTTTATTATCGTAACGAATTTAAGAGCTTATAAATAACGTTAACGAGTATAAATAACGTAGAATAAAGCTTATATATCGGCCGAAGCCTCGATACGAGCGACGATAAAGTAGGTAGCCGGTAAAATTAAAGCGTCGGCCTTATATAAAGTTAGCTTTAGATCTCGACGTACGGAGATAAGAATACCTATAAAAGTATATAAGCATAACCGGATAAGTAACGGTAATAACGGCCGGTACTTTAGAAAGAATCGAAGTATTTTTTAGTAGACTTATTCTAAGCCGTATTACGTATATAAATTAGGTAAGGAACTATACGGGAAGCTCCGTACTTTCGATTATAAGTAACCGAAATAATTTCTAAGGCGGCGGTATTAAAAGCCGGAATAACTAGCGCTATTAAAATATTAAAAGGAACCGCCGGAACGGCCGGGTTAAAGGAATTAATAAGACTAGTAGTTATTCCGGAAGCCGATAAAGCGTTACGTTCTCGTCTTTATCTTCGTTTTCGTTTTACGATATTATTACGGGTCGGAATAATAATAATAACGGCCGTTTAAGTTACGCGAGTAACGGCGATATTATTAGAAAACGTAACTTAATATACGCGAATCTAGGCTTAGATTTTACGCGGAAGAACCTTACGAATAATTAATATAATTAAGCGGTCGCCTTTTTCGATTACTTCTTCGTATAAGGAGGAGGAGTCTTTCTCAGAGGACTTTTCCTTAGAGGATTCGTCGGTAGAGACCTCGATAGCTCGGGATACGGTACCTTAAAAAGCGCGAGTAACTAAGGCCTAGGTACGTTACGCTAAGGGGCTAGGTATAATTATATCGACGTCGCTTTCGTCGATAAAGAGGTCCTTAAGGGGCTAAGCGATAACTAAGGCCCCGGACCCGGGAGTAAAGGATATCCTTCCGCGGCGAGCTTAGCTACCGGCTGAAGTTCTAGCGTTACCTCCCGTACGTATACGGGAGGTAAGAGGCTAGGTACTCGAGGTAAAAAGGCTAAGTACCTTTTATTTTAGCGAGGCTACGATACCTTAAACCGTTAATATAATCTTACGAAGCTCTTAAGTATCGGATATATTAAGAAATCGTTAATTACGGTATTATATTACTATCGGTAAATAATAAGTAAGTAATAAACGGATTATTTCGAATAACTTCTTATTTATTAATATAAAATAACTAACGGTCGCTTTATTATCCTAGAATACTTTAATATTAAGAATAATATATTAATTATAAATAATAACCCTTATCGCGATAAATTAAGTTATTATTTTACGATCGCTTAATAAAAATATATTACGACTCGTATAATACGCGAGCTACGCTTTACGTAAATTATAAAAAAAGTAGACTTATTTTACGATAATAAATTAACGAAGCTTTATTAGTTATATTAACTTACGATCGCGTAATTAATAGAATTACTTAATTATAGTTAGGTATATATACTTATAATAAATAACCTAGGGAAGAAAGGAAAAGAGAGAGGTACGTTTAATTCAAGAGCGAGAAATCTTAGATATATTTATACTTAACCGCCTTCGTAAGAAAAACGGTAGAATCGGTTAATATAAGTAACGTACGTAAACGCGCGCGATAGTAATAAAGGAGATTAAATCTTAGTATTAATACTAAAGTAATTATTACTATATTACTTATATAGCTAACTACCGCTTAATCGAAAGCGAGTAATTATACAGATAATTATACGAGTAATTACGCGAGTAATTATTTTCATTTATAATAAATTATAAAGTACTAAGTAGGGGGTACGAAGAATATATAACTTAAAAGAAAATACCATTAGTAATAAACCGGAGCATATATGGATAAGGGAATATAAAGGAGCCCGAGATAGGGTACCTAATAATCGATTAACCTTAACGAGGCATAGCGAGACTAGGGAATAACCTCCTTGGGCTATTATCGCGAGTAAAGGACTATAGTTAACCTTACTATCGTAAGCTTAATTAGGGGGTATATTACGTAGGTATATACTCCTAGTAGGAATTACCTAGCTTACTTAAGCTAATCGAGTATTACTATATATATCTATAGATTACTCTATACTCTCTAGTAGCTTTCCTTCTTTTCTAGTTAGTTAATATATACCTTCTTACCCGTATTCCACTACTCCCTTTGCGAATAACCTATTAACCTAAGCTTAGCTCTCGCTAGCTACGTAACATATTCATTAAAATATAAACTTTATAAAAATATAAAAAAGCTTTAATAAATATTTTTTAATAAATAACTTTTTAATAAATTAGTTTTCTTTATACACGCCCCCTAGCAGGTCTCTTTTAATAAATAGTTTAATTCTCCGGTCCGCGTCTCAGTACGCAACACCAGGGTTTAGCCTATTATAAGTAGGCCTATAAGTCAAACGGCGTTTGTTGGGCTGATCAACTTCCTGGTGACTGCCCCGCAGCTAAACCCGAGCGCAAGTGGCACGCTATCGGTGCAGGTGGCAGATGAACAGGTGACGGCACCTACAGGGGCTACCCATCCAACATTCGATTCCTCGTCCCGGGTCCTCATTTCGACACCATCGATCAAAAGCTCTCTCTCCCCAACCGCCCACCTCGTTCCGTTGTCGTCGTCGTCGTCGTCGTCGCCGCCGCATGCGCTCCCATTGCCTGGCCCGATACGCGATTCTTCAAACCTGCTACCACACTCTGTGCAACCCTCCCCTTCCCCCCTTTCCCCTTCTCCTCCACCCTACGACCGACCCCATTCCTACTTCTTACCCACGCCCCCCCCCCGCAAGCATCGAGCCGACTCGAGATTGAGACGAAGACCGACAGAGAGGTTGTTCGTTCCCGATCCCGTCTGCCTGCTTTTTCGAGTCATCCTGCAGTCAAATTGAATCGTAAATACCCAAACCTGTTCGTCTTCTTCTCCCTCGCGTAAGCCTCCGCCTCTCCATCCGCCTCCCACTCCCCGTCGCACCCCGCGGCGTCTCGCCATGACCAAGACGTCATATCTTGGGCCCTGCCTGGGACTGTGATTCTTGTGCATCGTTCTTAGCCTGTTGCTAGAAGCTGGGCGTGCGACCATGGACGAGGTACCAGCGGTTCCAGCCGGCCGAGCCGACACGCCGGGGGCCTCTCGGTTGCTTATCCCGGAACCGGCTGCCTGTCCGCCAACTCAACAAGGGCCCAGTTTACCCTCACGATCCGAAGAACTAGTCGAAACCTTTTACACCCATCCTTCTGTCAAGATCATCTCGTTTACGACGAGTCAGCGCATTCCTTTAGATCCGCGACCCTCTTCTCAGGACGATCGACCGGGCAAACCCCCGGCCTCGTCGCGCCTGGAGAGAACGATTGCCATCGGTACGTTTCTACGCCCAGCTTGCGAATCGCTTCCTCCTCTCCTCCAGCCTACCCACTAACCGGAACCCCGCAAGGCCTGTTCCGCATATACCGCGCCCCGGGATCGGTGGCCTTCCTAAGTTGCGGCTCGGCGCTGCAGCCCATTCTACCGAAGAGCCAATGCTGGTGTATCGACGAAGATAACAGCCGCTTCGTCCTACAGATACGGCGGCCACAGTACTGGCGAATTGAGCTCCCGGTTTCTAAGCCCGACGATAAGGAACGCGCCTTGGTCTTAAGGGAAGTCTTCGATAGGATCCTGCTCTTTGAGAAAACAGAATGTCCTTTTCAGAGGAGCTTTACGGTTGAACTCCCGGAACAGCCGTCAGTGATAAAGAAGGCATGGACACCAGAAGGCAAGAACCTAATATCATCTCCTTTCTCACCTATAGTGGTGCCGTCTCCCAGAGGCCTCCGTGGGCAGCGGCGAGCCAGCATCTTTACCGACTGGATCACGCCTACCGAACCCGAACCCGATGCTGTGTTCAACGAAAGGCGTCGGAAGTCCCAGCCAGTGGGCGATTATCTCGGCGATCAGGGGTCATCAGAAATGACGACGCCTGTACGGGATATCATAGCAGCATACTACAGCCGCCCTGAGCACCTGCCAGACCAATGGCCCGAGCACTCGCAGAGGTCAAAATTGGAAGACGCCTACCCGATCGATGCCGAGAGTGCCCTGGTCGAGTCTGATAACGAGCAATGTTTAAACACTCCATCGAGAACGGTACGAGTTGGCGATGATACAGGTGGACGCGCGGAGAGGGATATCTCTCTCGAGTCTCCCGTTCCCATGACCATAAAGGCAGAAGCCATAGGTGACGAGACAGCCGATGAGCCTTCCTCCTTTGAAGGCTCTGGTCGTATTGCTCCTATCAATCTCACGCGGAAACGGATGAGCCGGGCGCTTGCCGGGCGCGCGTTTAACGTACCCTCCCCGCGCCCTGTCGTTTTAGCTTCAACCCCCTCGAGGTTGAGGAGGGAATTATCCGGTGCTACGAGCTCCCGCCCCTCGCCGCAGCGATCACAACCTCCTGCATTGCACGAAGGTTCTCGTTTCGGGCCTGCCGATCCTTTCACCAGTGTTCAGTCATGGCATCCCCCTATTACCCCATTGCCGCCATCACCGCCGTCGTCGCGGCCAGTAACACCGTCTCAACGAGAATTCCCTCACCCTCACGAAAGCGTCGCCCTTCCTCGCCAGTCCTCTAGTGGGAAGGATCCGCAAGCCCACGCTAGCCCGCCTGACGTGTCTGGAGCGCTCACACCGTGCGCTGATAAAGCCGCTGGCCCTACCAACGCAATAGCCTCTCCAGCACCACCATCTGTTCCTAGTGAGGGCGATAACGTAGTCGCGATCTCTCTGCCTGAAGCCGAGGTTCCGCATACGTCTGCTTTAGAGGAGAGGCCAGAAGGCCAGAATTGGTCGCGACCACGTCACCATAGTTTATCTATTAGCCGACATGCCCTCTCGCCACTGCCTCCTGCTGCCGACTTTTTCTCGGCGCCTCAAAGGCAGGTCTCGCAGAGTCGCGTCGAAACCGCGAGTCGGGTACCGGGTACGATCATACATAAGACGGTGGAAATACTCCTGACGCCACCAAGTTACCTTGTTAATACCATGCTCAAGGTAGCTGCGAAAATCGCCGCTGGTGAGTGGCGAGGCTTAGTCTTTGGGCTCGGTGAAGGCGGCGAGAAAATCCCGGTCCAATGGGACTACTCCGATGGCGAATTTAGCAGTTGGAGCGACGACGATGACTACGCCGTGACTAGTGGCCGCAGTTGGGAAGTTGACTAGAGCGGGATAGATGGGTGCTTGTACTACTATCCTTTTACGTATGGGTTTGTATAATCTACTGTAGGGATGTCTGTGGGAGTTGGGGCTATCAGGAGGAGGGCTCAACCGTCGGTACTAGCATCGTCGGATTTCCGGTTGAATCGCCAGCACTACATGGCCCGAGTGTTGATGCTGGACCCGCGACGTTACGTCTACGGGCGTCAGTTTAGGAGCCCGAGAACCAGCCTGTTGCTTTGTATAACGTATATCTATTGGACGTGGAGGGTGCAGAACCATATAATAATTAAATGGCATAGCCTCGAGGAATACATAGGGGGGCGTACCCTGATACTCAGGGGTATCCCACCATCCAGGCTCCGACAAGTCAAATCCTGGCTGGGCCTCATCACACCAGATTGTATCAATGCACATATAACCCCTGCGTTCCCAAGAGACGAGTCAGGCCATTTGGTATTCGACCCTACATAGGGAGGATGGACAAGCCAACGTCAACGTATGTCGACAGCGATGCGTTACGACACATACCTAGATGCCAACCGGACCGCAACATACCTATGTGTCCACCACCTCACGTAGGTCCTATAATGCCTACCTCGGCTTTCGTCCCACCCTCACCTCTCCACACGGCTACTACGTGAAGACGGGTGTCAGGAGCCACAGTGGGGTCGGTCACCGTTCAAGTCGTGGTTTACACGCTTCCGGGAGGTCCACGATGGAATAATCCGCAATGCGACGAAGGTGGTCAATTGGTCACTTATCCGCGATTTCGCTAATAGAAGAATGTCCCGTCCGACGAGAATGTTCAGCGATAGCCTTCTCGCCCTGTCCAATCCATTTACATTCGTTACATATAACAACCATGCCCGTGGTATCGGTGAAATAATGATACTCATCCCGTAACTTCTTACACAACTCCCTTGTGTGTGCGATAACATGGTCACTATTTATGACATTCCAACGGTTGACATCGAAGTCCATGGCCGCCTGACCTTCGAGGAAGATTTCAGCGACGCGGTCGTAGTGGATGTTGGAATACACAAGAACGCAGCGCAAATCATACTGGTCTTCGCCGATGCGGTAGACATTGCCCCGCTGAACATCCACGATGGAGATCTCCAGCTCAAAAATCTTTGAAATTATACCGAGCTCGATGTCGCCGCCCCACGTGCCGGGTTGCAGCATAAGAGTACAGTACTGTTCCGGACTCTTCTCGAGGACTACAGCGTTGTATTTATCCGGATTCTTAAGAATATAGTCGACAACCACGCGGCGGAGCCATTCGGGAGTGATCTCACTGCTCGGCACCGTGGGAAGGCCGCGGAGGGCCCCGCCGACTGCCGTGAATAGGCAGTTGTTATCATCAGGCATGACACGGAGCACTATTGGTTTGGTGTTAGAAAGGATGGGTATGGTCATGCTGCACGGTTGAGAAGTCGATTGAGGACGACGGCCCGGGAGGAAAGGCCACCTTACCTAGGTGTGAGTTCGTCTCGGGCATATAAACACTGATGTTCTCGTCCCCAATGCCTCGGGCGTCCTTGTACCGCGATGGTCCACCACCAGAGGGAGGAACAGTTACAGCGGCTCCTTGTATAGGCTGCGCGCTTTTTTCGACCACGGTCGAGGGCTCTGCGATAGGCACGATCGTAAGGCTCTCGCGTTCGAGACCAATCCGCCGCAGAGACACATGGGGTTCGCTACTCTCGAGCGCCTTCGGTGGCCAGCCGTATTTGACTACAAAGTCGGCGCAGCCTGTGATCACCTTGATGGATTCGAGAAGCTGGCCAACAGTCGCCTCGTCGTCAAGCTCTACCGTCCCCCCCCCTGATGGAGCCTTATACCGGATCTTCATGACAGATGCAGACAGATCGATAAAGGCGGGCGTATACAAGTAGATTAGATCCCCAATGCAAGTGTCAACGAAGAGAGAATATAGGACAGTAAGAGGGGACGGAGTAGTGAAATTTCTCACGATAATTAAGTAGATATTTTACTTATTTTATTTATTTTACTTATTATCAAGCGGACAAGCAGTCGAAGAACGATATTATTTAATATAAAAGAAAATTTGGATGAAAAAAGGTAAAGAATTAACTTAGGCTAGTTATATTGAAAGTCCGATAGTAGGTTATAATACAAAGCTACTTCATAAAATTGTTTTTTACTAAAAAGCTGATATATCAGAATATATTAATAGTAGTATTGATAAAGAACAGAGTCTATGTGATAGGAAAGCTTTATAGAGTAAATATTAAAGTATACCTTATTAGAAACTACAATATAGGAAAATATAACAGATACTAAAAAGCTAAAGCATCGAGATATAAACCTTATAGTTTATTATAACTTACCTCGATATTTAAAAAAAACTTGGGATATAATCGTATAAAACTTCATTATAAAACTTTTACTATTAAAAGACCTGGCTATAGAAATTATATACGACAATATATAAATAATAATCGACTAACTCACGAAATATAAAAGGTTTATTCCTTTTAAAGAACTAATTAAAATAAAATAAATAGTATTCTTATTCTTATAATACTATATTAATAATTATAAACTCCTAAGATAAATTATTATAAATAAAGATAAGTTAATAATGTAAAAGTTTTAAAAGATATGAATAAAACGATTAGAAATAAAACAAAAGCTATCTACTGTAATGGTACGGCAAGACATGCCCTCTTAATGCATTACGTAACACGCTACGATAGGCCTTATACCTATATAGAGTAACTATAACTCCCGTAAGTACGGGCTATGCTATACTTATTATTTAGTTTACTACCTAATTAGATTATTATCTTTATTACTTTTACCTTAATTAAAGATTCGTTTTTACTATTAAATTCGTCGTTCTTTAATTAGTATATCTATCTTAATTATAAACGCTTAAGTTGCTTCGTTATACCGTTATAACCGAATAAGTAACTTTTACGTTTAGTTCCTTTTCTCTACTTACCTCTTATACCTTCGGGCGAACGACTACTACATCTCTACGACAAAGGGATATACCTAAGATACGATAACTACATTAGATTCCTCGTCTCTCGATCAGTATAGTAATACTAATTCCATCTATCTTAAACTATCGTACGTATTATAATCTTCGATAGAGTATACTTTCGAATAAGCTTATCCGGGACTCTAGTATCGCGTACGCTCTACTCCTTCTTAATAATTTAATTAAAATCCGGTAAATCGAAGAAATATAATACGATAGGCTTAGTAAACAACTCCTACTTAGAAACGGTAGTTTTAAAAATAGTAATTTTAAAAGGAACGAAAGAAATAAGTTTAGGAAAGGTTAAAACGATAGCTTTCTCCTTTAACGCTAGGTTTTGTTCGATAAAAGAACGAAGACTACCGACGATACGACGACTTTAACGGCAAAAACGAATAGCTTTATTATAAAGATTAAAAACGTAACGCTTAATCCGGGCAAGTTCTTTTTTAATATTATTAGGCTTTGCTTAAATATAATTTATTTCCTCTATAATACGGTTAATAACCTTCGAAAAAATCCCTTGACGATCGTAGGGACGATAAATAATTAAATATTCTGAATAAGACTCTTAATCTTTAACAATATAATAAGGAAATAATAGCCGAACGTAACGAAAATAAGGCATTTACGAGTCGGTAGTTAACTTTAAGGTAGTAATAAGCCTACTACGACGATACTTTCGACAAGTAAACTAACGAAATAAAGAACGAATAAAGAATATAATAAGAATTAAAGAAATAAAGAATAAGAAAGAAATACTTACCTTTAGATTTTTTAAGATAGAAATTAAGGAGAAGAGAGATAGTATTAGGAACTACAGTTAAAAAGATTACTAATAAGTATGCGTTATAAGCTACGAAAGGAGAAGGTACAGAAATACCTAAGGAATAAAAATATTCCGGCTCTTATTATACGAGCGTCGTTAAGAAAAAGGGCGACGGGCGCCCGCAAAGCGTTAATCACTTACAAAGTAATAATTACTTATAAGACGACGGTCGCCCGCTGAAAAGATAATCGTTTATTAAAAGAATAACTTTAATAACCTAACTAAGGATTACTATATTAAATTAAAATATCTTTTTTATTAAATAGACATTTTTCTAGTTCTTTAGTTATTAATTTTAAGTATATAGTTTACTTTCAATAACTACCTTAAACTGCGAAATTAAAAAGTATATAAACTATTCATTATATAACTACAACCTTAATTTCTTAATATATGAAGATAAGCATAATTACCTAGTACTACTAACCGGTATAAGACGGTTATAATAAAACTATTCTTATACTTTTACAAGAAATACATTATGAGGCCCGATTAATAAATCCTAATAATAACTTAAAGCTTAATAGGTAAGTTAATAATTAATTCGTCTTTATTATTAAAGACTTTTTAACTTATATAAATAATTTCGGCGAAATAGGAGACAAACTAAGGAAATCTTCACGGAATACAAAGCCTTTAAACGAAAAGTCGAAGTTATTTTCAGAGATCCCGATAAAGCTAGAACGGTAGAACGACGAGTAAATAGTTTAATAAAAATTAAATAAGCCTACTGAGAAGGAACAGAGCGTACGTAATGCTGGAGTCCCGGATAGGCTCTCTCGAAAGTATACTCTATCGAAGACTATAGTACGTACGATAGTTTAAGATAGATAAAACTAATATCGCTATACTAATCGAGAGACGAGGAATCTAATGTAGTTATCGTATCTTAGGTATATCCCTTAGTCGTAGAGATGTAGTAGTCGTTAGCCTAAAGGTATAAGAGGTAAGTAGAGAAAAGGAACTAAACGTAAAAGTTACTTATTCGGTTATAACGGTATAACGAAGCAACTTAAGCGTTTATAATTAAGATAGATATACTAATTAAAGAACGACGAATTTAATAGTAAAAACGAATCTTTAATTAAGGTAAAAGTAATAAAGATAATAATTTAATTAGGTAGTAACTTTAATAATAAGTATGGTATGGCCTATACTTTCGGGAGCTATAGCTACTCTATATAGATATAAGGCTTATTATAGCGTATTACGTAATGCATTAAGAGGGTATGTCTTACCATACTACTATACTACGCCTACGTTATTAAATTTAAAAGCTAAGTAGTAAAAACTAAATACAACAGTATAGCTTTAATTCGAATATTTTAGACCGGATTTAAAAAACGAGTTAAGAATAAAATATATTAGTAAGACTAGCAAGAAATTCTTAAGGAGTTTATATAAGAAGCTATTAAAAATCCATTATGCATAATATGAATATAAATAAGAAAAAAATATAAATTAACGTTTATGTTAGGACGAAAGGGTAAAAGTAAGCCTAAGCTTAGAAGTACCGCCTTGTTATAACCCTACTATACTTATTCGTATTATTAGATAGTAGTATTTATTTTAATATATTAAAGAATCGATTATAGTTATATAACCTGTACTTTAAAGGCTTTTTAATCTCACGGTTTAGAGTACTTATTAAAAGTAAACTATATATTTAAAATCAATAACTAGAAAATTCAGAGAATAATTATAAAACTATAGAAATAGTTCTAATCTTATATAGTAATTTATAATTAAAATATTCAGGCATCTTTTTAACGAGCGATTGTCTTTAAGGTAGGCGATTATCGCCTTATAAACAATCATCGCTCTCCTTTTATAATATCGCTTAATAAGCAACTTTTTTACGGTAGATAATTTTCATTTTACTCCTTGTCGTTTTATTAATATCTTTTAAAACCTTAAAGTTATTAATTTATCTCTATTTATAATAATTCGTTATAAGAATCCGTAGTTACTAATATAGTATTAAAGAAATAGAAATACAATTTACTTTATTATTATTGATTCCTTAAAGGGAATAAACCTTTTATATTTTGTAAGTTGGTCGATTATCGTTTATATATTATCGTACGTAATTTTTATAAGTCTTTTAATAGTGATAACTTTATAATAAAATCCTATGCAATTATATCCTAAGCTTTCTTCAGTATCGAGGTAGGTTATAATAAGCTATAAGGTTCATATTTTAATGCCTTAGCTTTTTCATATATATCATACTTCTTTAAGACTTCTTATCTTTTTCTTTATTTTTAGAAATTCATATTTCTTTTTTATTCGTTAATAAGTCTTAAATATTCCTTAATATCAAGAAGGTATAGAGCGCACGTGATACTGGAGTCCTGGATAACTTATTTGAAAGTACACTTTATTTATAACTATAGTATATATAATAGTCTAAGATAAATAAAATTAATATTATTTTACTAATCGAGAAGTAAGAAATCTAATGTAGTTATTCTATCTTAGGTATACCCCTCGGTTATAGAGATATAGTAATCGTTAGCCTGAAGGTAAAGGGGGTAAAGGGAGGAAAGTAGTTAAACGTAAAAGTTATTCATCCACTTATTGCGGTACGATAAAGTAATTTAAACGCTCGTAATTAAAATAAGCATATTAACTGAAAAACGACAAATCTAATGATAAGAACGAATCTTAAATTAAAGTAAAATCAATAAAATTAATAATCTAATTAAGTGATAATTATTATATCATCCGTACTTACGAGAGCTATAGTTATTGTATATATGTATAAGGCTTATTATAACGTATTACGAAATATAAAAAGAAAATATTTTACTATATCATTATAAGCTTTTTAATTTAATTATATCGTAAAAAAGTTTAAACTTGAAAAGATAATACGGTAATATTTCGATTAATATCTTTCCTTAAAAATTATCGCGAAACTTTATTTTACTAGTTATTATTTCATTATCTCTAAGGCTGAACCTTTAACTTATCGTTTAATATAACGAGAAAGCCTTTTTATTACTTTGCA